CAAGCCTATGCTGTGATAGCAAATCTGGCTCCAGCTAATGACCTCCTGACCTATGACCTTCCCTCACGTCGTAACCTCAACTTCCCTGAGAGAAGAGGAAACGGGGTATCTGTCATTACTGCTGGAGATGCAAACAGCAGGTTACAACTGTGTGACTTTTCCTTCTTCCTGTGAAGTCTTGCCTCGTGTGGGTGAATCAATCATTTCACTACACACATACCTACACAGGTCTTCATGCTAACCTCTGTATAAGAGTGTACGTGTGTCAGCCGCTATCACAACAAAGTGCAGAGTCAGCACCCTGGAGGAGTACAGGACGGAGCAGGATAATGTGGGCCGGGGTGGGCCAGTGCGGAACTTGAGCTCTGCTGACTCCGATTTTACTGACTAAACATTTACAGAAAGCACTGACATACACTGAGGGGCTCTGACTGCAGTTGAATTAAACACAAAAGGGGAAGAAGAGCTAAAACATTTGCATGCTCATCTAGGTGTAAAAGAAACTGGGTAACTTTTGTGGAAACACTCAGAACAGTATCACTGCACAAACAATGAAAGGTCAACCACAATTCAATAAATTCTTTTTTTTTTTAAACCACCAAAATTGGGAAGCTACCTACTATTTTGGGCTTAGAAAACCCAAGAGAAAGCTCTGCATTTGAGGATCACATGACTGATTTCTGTTTACTCACTTCATAAATAACTGCTTATACCGAGAGCCTGGTATTTAAAGGCTAATCTGAAGTTTGAATGACTATAGTTAAGAGCTATTAAGAGAAGCTGCCCTGACAGTCTCATTCAGTCAATTACCAATGTGACCCTTGATATTACCTACCTAGCTGAAGACCAGGCTAAATTCTTTGACTTCCTGAGAGGAAAATGGAAAACTGGCCTCAGAAGTATGGTTCAGAAGTCAGCCTGGTTCTAAATGTTTATCTACATCCAGTTCTTCGTGGAAAATTTTAATCAATTCATCAACTTGCAGGCCACTTCTTGGCTAAATGCCACGTGAGCTGTTTAAACAGTTCATACACCTGCTATTGTCTTACCCACATATCCTGTTGTGTGTGATCATGTGAGCTCTAAACCAGCATATGCCCGCTCATGTCTGCATATGCTTCTGAGACAGAGATGCACACTGAAGTGAAAGACTACCACAAGTCCCACAATACCGCAGGACTGTTTCCAGCAGTTTGGCAAATGATGCTACAACGGACAATAGCTTTTGTTCAAATCTTATCTGTCTTCCCTTCAAGTCAGTAATAAAGCCATAGTGACCAATGAAGTCTTCGAGTCCCCTATTCTTACTTCACATTTTCAAGTTTGAGTGATGACACTTGGCAAAGGTTTGACACTCATGCGAGATAAACCAAACACTCTACAATAATAAAGGAAGGGCTGTCATGAGATAATGGGAAATTAGTCCAGCTAGGGAAGTGTCAAGTTGAGTGTTTGCGCTACCCTACCTACACCCACATAATACCCTGAAACTAATAACAGAACAAATATTATGACTGTCCCAGAGTTTTTCAGTTGTGCATTATTTGTTAATCCCACTCAGGGTGCGACTCAGGCAGAGAAGGGGGGCATACCTACATCCTCTACAGGAAATGACATAATCAGCAATCAGATGTTTGACATATGATGTCAAATTCTGCCCCCCCCAAAAGCCCCCCAGCACCTAGGAGACTGTTTTAAGAAACGTCACACTGGCTCTGGCTCACTGCACATTGCTTGTGCAGTTTCACTTGCACTCTGAGCTGGGAGGAGCATTTACTCAATGAAACACTCAAAGATTGAGCTGCCCTTGGCACTCTCTGGGTTTGAAAGAATACCCTAGAATCAGTTTTCTATGCCATTTATTTAATTTTATTCTGCTGTTTTTGATTATTTCTGCATTCTTGTCATAATTAAATTGCATTAACTGGTAAAAGACCCACAAGGGGAATACTTCTGAGTCATCTGAGTGTTTGCTGGGGGACATTTTTGTTGGATTAGGACATGAGCTGAGTAACAAATATAAAAGTAATTAATAATGCTTTGGGAGTGGCTGTGTTTCCCCATAATCTCTTCGTTATCTGGATCATGGACTAGAATTGACCAACTTCACATAAGCCAGTCTAGTAGTGCCAAAAAGTATGTTACAATAGTCAAAATCGATAACCACGCCTTTAATCCTTTGTGATAGGACTATAAAAGGTCACAGGTAGCGGATGAGGGAGTTGGTTTACCATGCCATAGGACATGAAAGTTATGGCTTCATGAGCTGAGGACAGGACAAGGTCGGCATGCTCCCTAGCAATATAACCTTCAACTATTTCTAAGTTCAAGAGGCCACACTGGGAGAAAATGGTCAGCCAAGAGTGACTCTGCCAGGTGGCGAAGAAGATCATTTGATTGGTAGCATATGATACAAAGCGAAAGGGAAAGGCTAGTGGGAAAAGGTGTTGGAAAGCACCTTCCAACCCTCTGCTTTATATACAAGCTACATCTGTCATCTATTGACACAAAACACCAGCATTCTTTTAAGATGATGAAAGAGGTAAAACCCTCACAGTCTCGGCTCATTTTAAAAGATTGTGCAACAGCATAATGTGAGAATGTACCTTGAAACGTGTCGTACATGTAAGAACATGTAGGAGTGCATTTAAAATCAGGGCTGCTGTGTTATTATGACAGTTTCTCAACACACAACAGCACTAAAGTGAGAATTCGAGTCAGCCCCATTCATTTCATTCACAGAGTAATGAATAACCCTGGGAGGTGGAGGTAGTGGTGGGAGTCATATAATTTTTCATATCCTCTTTGATAGAGTGGAGTCCTGCTCACTGGCTTTACCTGTTGAGAAATGCGTTGCCAAAGGCGTTGAGCTTGCGGAAGGGCTTCTTGGGATCGACAACCAGGGCATTACCCGGTATCACCCCGTCCTGTTCCCCGTGCATCACCGCGATGAAAGAGTCTGTTGTCGGCTCCGGGCCAATCCGCATACCGGGGAAGTCCTGCTCCATGAGGTGCCGGATAAATGTGGTCTTCCCGGTGGAGTACTGGCCGACCAGGAGAACCATGGGCTTGTTATCAAAGTCGGCATCTTCGAGGGCTGGGGAGTGGAAGTCGTGGAATCGATACGTGTCCTCTAGCGGGAACAGTTTGGTCCGGTAAAGCCGCCGCAGTCCCTCCGACACGTTCTGAAACAGCTCGGGATCCTTCTTCAAGTTTTTCCTGAACATGGTTGCTTCTTTTCGCCTACTTGACACGAGGGTTTCAGTCTCCCCTTTAATAAGTATCGAATTTAGAGGTGTGGATGCTCACACCGCCGAGAGAGTAGCTGCCTGCTGGTATAAAGCTACGGACTGGGCGAGGCTGAAGTTTTTGTCCCCACCCTCCTCTTTGCTAGCTAGCCACGCAACTGCGAAGTCAGTCATTCAAGGAGGACTCCTTTTTCACTGGACGTTATCTAACGTGACGTGACACGACACGCCACCATAAAAACTAAGCTGCGGTCAGATAGATGCAGTCAATTGCTGCTTAAATGTCAGACAGCAAAACTGTTTATTGGCTTGCCAGCCGACTAGCCACCTGCTGACAGTTGGTGAACCGCCGAAGAGGACTTATTCCGGAAACAGTATTTTTTTTTTTTTTTTTTGCGGGGACTACCGCTACAGTCTGTATTTCACAATAAAAGCCTCTGTTCTTCATAACCCATATGAAAACTTTGATGAAAGCATGTATTCATTCATTTGTTCATATATATATGAACCTGTGAAGCCTCTGCATGAAAAGTTCATACACATACAGCTGTGTGAAAACGCGCTTACCACCTGCCTGATTTCCAGGGTTTTTTTGTATATTTGTCTTGGTTAAATGTTTCAGTTATTATTAATGAGGAAAAAATCCAAACAAAAACGTAAACAAATAAACAATGAGAGTGTAGTGGCAGTTATTTCAATATATAGAAAAAGCATATCATATGAATGTGGAGGGAATGTCTACTAATTAATATTAGGGAAATGGATATAAATAGTAGAATGTTCCGATGGATTAAGGATTTCTTAACAGACAGACAAATAAAAGTATCGGAGGGGAGGGTTTAGCAGGCTCTATCACAACTTTTTAAAGTATACAGTCCCCCTTCACAGTAACAGCCACAACAGACAGGTTTTACACAAAGAAAATGTCAAATACCCAATAATCCATACTAGGAGCATGCAATTAGCCAGAGAGAGTTTAAAGAACTGTCTTTAAACAGGAGGCGACCCTGAGGCTTAGCAATACTGGGTGAAATCCAAATGCTTATAACTGCAGTGTCACCAGACGATCTCTCTATTCTCTAATATTGTTTTACTACGCTAAACATCTTAGTGTCCGGATGCCACTAGGAAAGTGTATTATGCTAAATGTGTTACTGTTATGAACAACAACCCATATGAAAACTTTGATGAAAGCATGTATTCATTCATTTGTTCATATGTATGAACCCGTGAAGCTTCTAATAACATTCACTATGAATTAATATTCACTATATTGTGTTTATGTGCAGTGTTTGTAGTGGAACTAGCGTTACTTTTAATTTGAAATGACTACATCAAATTGCAAACAGTGATTTAGTTTTGGTTTGACTTTTCATTACAAAAACAAAGACAGCTTCTTTGTTAGCACTCATGATGATTGTGTTCTCAGGCTGAGTGGTGAGTATTTTTTTACTCTGTTTTCAGTTTGTTGAGCTGAAAAAGATCTTGTTACGATATCTTCCTGTAAACACTTACAGGGTTTACAGGAAGAACCCCCAAAAGGTAATTTTTTTTGTAAGGGACCTTTGAGTCTATCACCATCGCTGACTGATGTCAGGGAAAGTCCCATATCCTTCTGACCATTTACTACAAATGATGCTCTTGTATTCACTTTTCATTTCAGAAAGCTACATAAACCCATGCCATACAAATCTCAATCTTTGTGTTTTATTCGTGAAAAGGGGCTATAAAGAAACAGAAACTTCAACTGAATTCACAAGAATTGTTTAATTTATTGCAGCCTTCACATAAATCACCATGAAAATTAAACTAAACACAGAAACAAGAAACTGAAAGTGTTGCTGTTCATGAGCTACAGAGAGTCCCAGCAGTGTTTGCATGACAAGAGGTGTCCCTCCACAGATAACAGCAGCTCCACTGGAAGCCACAGTTTTTCCATATGGAGATGCTGTTACAGCTGGTGAGACCCAGAGAAAAACACAGCTGAGAGCACCAAGCCAGACCACGGCATTGGATGTACACTCATTCTGCTGGCATCTTCTATTTAAGTGTTTTTCCTGTCATATATTCAGTTGGCAAAACTGAATATAACCAAAACTTACCTTAAACAACTCCTCTGGGCTTTCCTATTTTTGTGGGGCTACCACTACAGTCTGTATTGTTCGTACTCTTGATCAGCCAGACAAGCATTTCAGAGTACTGCAAACTGGAAGGGGGCGGCAGCATCATGGTCCACTTTTAAATCATATGAATTAATGCTGCCCTCTTTTGGTCATCTGTTTCTGACTACATGAACTTGAATCATTTTATTACACATGATACTTCAGCTTTCATGTCACAATACTACCCACACCCAATAAAGACTTAGTATCATCCACTATTTTATCTTCTAATCTTGGCTTTTACTGCCTCTAAGATTACATGTGTCCCTTCTGATGCCAATAAAAATCAGGCTCATTCACTCCAAGAACACGTGCTCCTAGAAGTTAACAATGGTTCCAGTAACCCTAGTAAAAAATAAATAGATCTATTGTGCTATTTCTTTTTATATTAGGTGTTGAAAGGATCTTTAACACAAGTGGTAAACAGGAACGAGCATCATTTTCTTGTGTGTAGCTCATCTTCTTCCCAGAATCTCACTGAATATCCTCGGTGAAATTTGACCTTTAATCCTCTCCTTCTGTAAAAAGAAGAAAAAAGCCTCAGAGAACCATAAAGCAATATAAGGGCAGCCTGGAGAGAACTTCACCCCATTGTCTCCTTCGACTTTGGCCGCCCTGCTATATATTGTTAACAGATAATTCCATTATGAAGGGTCATTAGCGTCTTCAGATAATGTGCACCATGAGGCCGAGCACGGAAACTAGAATGAACTCGGTCTGGACAGAGAAAGGTGACGTCAGGAAATCAAATACCACATATTAAACCAACATTTTTAATGCTGGGAAAATCCTCACGCTTATCATCTCAGAGTTAGAACCTGCAGAAACTGAAATGTATTCATACTATAATCATTTTTATCTGAATAGGTACAATATCGTCTTTGTTACCGAAATGACACCAAACATCTTTGTAAATTACACACATGTTCGCACAGAACGTGTTTGCTTTTGAAGGCACTTGAATTCATTATAAATGAATCATCTAATTTCCTTAAAAGATCCTCTGTGATCAACTGTTCTCATTTTAACATATATACAAATACATATTACAGGGTTTGTCCTGCAGTGTGCAAGCAGATTAGATGCATGGTGAAATAAACTGGTCTTGTTAATCTCTTGAGTTAGTTTGCTTTCTATAATGTAAAAGAAAAGTTAATACTTACCCAGTAAAAGCTGCAGGCAAAGCTTCTTCAGTTATTAATTGTAAAAGGAAAACACAAGACAAGTAAAACCCAGATAAAAAAAGAACAAAATATAAGTGTGAGGGGGAAAAAAGACAAACGAATAAATAGTAAATAAGAGCGTTTTTACAAAAAAGACACCCAGCAGTGAGCGGAGTCTCTGAGTAATGGTAGGCTCGTGAATGAGGGCTGCTTAAGACTACGTGGGGGAGAGAAAAATTAATCATTACACTTACTGTAAATATGTAACAAACCCAACCTGCACATAAAAGTCAGCAAATTGCATTGTGTTTGAACACCCACGGAGACACGCAGATGAGATGAAATCATACATGCAGCAGAGCAGCCAATAAGATCATCCGACCTTCTCATCAGGCCTCCCCCACCCCTAATCATCAGTGGACATAATTCCTCTGCTGACACATTTCACTCTCTCTCTCTCTCACTCACTCTTACTGGGGCACGGTTTAATAAAATCCCCTGATTAAATATCTAAATGGAAAGAACATTATGATATTACTTTAAAGAAATGATTGATGAATAGTCAAAATTTGGGCCAACTCCATCAAGTTGTACTGTTTATTCTGGTCTTGGATATCTATCAAATCCAAATCTGGACTGGACTTTTGAAGTGACTACAAGATGATATATGATTTTTTTTTTTTCAAACGATTTGTAAATTATAGACAATAATAAGACCTTATGTATCCCCCAAAACACAAACCGTTTAAAAATGACCCAGATTTGAAGGCGTTTCTATTAACAGTGTTACTTTACGGTGTTGTTTTGAAGATGACTTTTGAAGACAAAGAGTGTTTGCCTGAAACAAATTTGTAAAGTGCATTTGGCTCAAGCTCAAAGTGAGTGATTCCTGCAAACAGTTCATTCCTGCATGTGTCTTTGGTCAAAGTGTGAGAACAATAATTGTAAATGAGTTACAAAGGGAGAGCCTCTTCGTCTTCCTCCAAGCCAGTTAGATGCATTTATAAATAGTTCTTAAATAGCACATCTAAACCAGTAACACACTCAATGTGTTTCCTGATCTCATTGACTTTGACGGGAATTTGGTTTAACACCATATTTCACACCAAATTATATTCTTTAAAACCATAAATAGACGTAGTGAAGTAATGATTTAATATTCACTTAATCTTTATTTCAGAGGTAAACACCTTGATTTATATACTTTATCCTACTCAGGCCACATCAGTAATAATAGTAGAATTAAAATCCTGCTTCGAACAGAGTATTTCTACACTCTGACCTAGGGCACTACTTTCACCAATCTGTACTATTTCACCAGTGATTTAAAGAAACTGGTGTAAGAATGTTTTTTTCCTTAAAAAAGATATTTGATTTAGTTCCTGTAGATATTTTGCATTGTTTATCATTTGACATCGTTTTAGTACCCCGGTATTGATATGCTGTCGCAGAGGTGATGAATAGATGGGGTCAGGTGAACCCTGCAGTAGCTTACGTGTTACTGTTCATTATTTGCATGTTAGGGAGGCTTATTCATTCATTTGAAGTATAACTCAGTAGAAGCTCAAGGTGTATAAACGTGAAGATAGCGTCGTCAAAGTGTCCCCAGTAAGTGGAGGATCTGTATGTTGTTTGTTTTTTAAACAAATCTTAAGACTTCAAAAATCGTTCTTTCTAATAAGCGTGAATTTCGCGTTGTTCTTTTTGACTCGCGTGGGCTTCCTTACTGGTGAAGCGGTGTTGTCCGATGTGTGAGTAGCTAACTATCCCTACCTTCACTGGGTATATTAGCTCATATTTCCTCCGTACATAAATAAACTGGCACGTCAGTTTGCATTTAGCTCAAGTATACAAACTAACATTAACGGCACAAGTGATGAAGAGCTTATTGGAGTTCCTAATTGTTTCTAATCGTGCTAGCCAGCGAGGCTTCCCAGTTAGCTTTCGCAATTTGAACGTTAGCCACATTAAAGCTAATTTTAGCTCTCATCACGATGGTATTTATTATATCAAATAACTGCATATGTGTAGCGGGAATAAATTTGTGTTTTGGTAAGCTGCTAGTAAAGGAATCGTTTATTTATATTCACGCAGTGTTATATTCGGACAATAGTGGTCAGTGTAGCTGCTTTAGTCGGCTAAAATAAAGTCATGAGCTCTTGCACTAACTTTAGTTTGGTTAGAAGTCCTTTGGGTTCTTTTCATCATCAAATGAAAGCATTGTACCAGTACGTTAGACGATTAACTCCTCGTTAACGTTCCTGTATTGTTTCAGGTCAAAATGGCAGAGCTAACAACACTCGAGAGTCTGCTGGAGATGGGGTTTGATCGAAACAGAGCGTGAGTGATCCCTGATGCACACATTTTTTATTGGTTTATTTGGATTTCAGGTTTGAAGCTGATTTCAAGGAAATTAAACTGTGTCTACATTATCTATCATATTATCATAATCTGTCTTTAGAGAGAAGGCAGTGGCCAACACAGGGAACCAGGGAATTGAGCAAGCCATGGATTGGTGAGTTTAGCACTCAGAATAACAACACACTACGGTACTTTGAAACCTCCCACATTAACATTTTCCCTCTGTCATCACTTAACTTGGTGCCACAGTCCAGCTGCACACGCCAGTTTCCCTCATAAAACTGTCCAGTGGTTTTCATTTCCCAATGTAAACATGATTGTGGTGATCGGATAAGTGACTGTTGTTTTTTCAGTTTAAGAAATATTGATTAACTTTGTAGTGTTGTCTCAAAAAGTGAATTAGAAATGCTTGTGTGTGCCTTCATCTCCTCTCACTTGGATTGGACTGTTTTCTTGTCGGACTGAAACATTTATTAATCGCATTTAATCTGTGCAAGATGCTACTGTGAGGCTTTTAACTCATTATAAACTTTCTCATATCACCATATTTTTAAAGCTTTCACACTGACTTCCTGTCAGGATTAGCTTTCAGTTAAAAATCTTGGTTCTCACTTTTATGGCTTTATGGGGTGCAGCCCCCTCCTAGATAGTCTCCCTGCTACTACTCCAGTCCTATTCTTCAAACCAAGTTCTTAGACCTGTTTGTGGTTCCTCATACCCGCCTGAAAACTAATATTCCAAAACTTTGGAATAGCTTGTCACACACTCTTTGCACCCTTGACTTTGTGGTATTGTTTAAAAGGCAGTTTAAAACTAATCTTTTCAGATTTTGTGGGTTTTTTTTACTTTGTTTGTGTGTGTCCATTTTGACTTGAAATAGGGTGTTTAAAAATGTTATCTAGACCTCTGTAAAGCTCTTTGTGGCTGTTGGAAAGTAATACATTTTGCTTACACACTCTCCTCAGGCTAATGGAACACGAAAATGACCCAGACATCGATGAGCCCTATGTGCCGCCAGCGGGCAACATCCTGGGAGGAGAAGCACAGAGCCAGCCCAGCACAGCAGACAGCTCTGAAGGTCAGGAGGGGCAGGAAAGTTTTGAAGGTATGTCATTAAAGGGGCAGGAAATAAAAGTCACCCACAGATTTTCAGTGTGATTGAATATACCACTAGACAACCTAAATGTATCTACTCTTAAGGACTTTACACACTGGACGTGTAAAATCCGTGTGAATATTTAATGTGTTAAAAAAATTTTTTTGACTTGATTTGGATCCAAATAAATAGATCTGACCAATCAGACCGCCACATTTGCAGTAAGTGTGGTCATACTGAATGTGTGCACCTGTGCTGTATATCCAAAAGGAAATGGTAAAATTACACTATTTTGCCTTTGATAGCTATACCAGTTAATCGTGTGTGTATATATATATATGTGTGTATATATATATATATATGTGCGTGTGCGCGTGCATACAGCTAAATTCAGTTACAGGATATGCACCCCCAGTAAATCTATCTTATCTAGCTCTTTATCTCAAAAATGTTGTGTCAAGTGGTTGAGTCACTTCCTTGATGTTTCGTTGGTGGTGTTTCGTTGTGGTTCATTGGCACTGCTGTGTTGTTTTAAGGTTTGTGGTATTTGATTTTAGATGGGCCTCTTGTCTTGTTTTGCGTTTGTTAGTAGTCGGAAGTAAGCTGTCAAAGTTTTCACGTTGTCTTGCCTGTTTGCTTCGGCATCAGGAATAGCAGGTGGAGACATCGGCTACATTGAGACAGAGGACGGCGTCAAACGGCCAATGACAGAAGAGGAGAAAAATGAGCAAGTCAAGAGGTCAGAGGATACTCAAAGTGCATTTTACTGATTAGCAGTGTGCATATTGAATATAGAAGCACGTGTGTAATTTAAGCTGTGTCTGTTTTTCAGGCTCGAGGAGCTGATGCGGGTGAAGCAGGCGGAGAGAAGAGAGCGAGAGCGGGCAGAAGAGGTGGAGAGGGAGAAGCAGCGGAGGAAGCAGGGCCAGGAGCTGCAGCAGATGCGCCAAAAACTGCAGGACGATGAAATGAAAAAAATTGCTGAGCAGCGTCAGAGGGAGAAGATGGAGGACAAAATGGCAAGGTATGTTTTTCAACAACACACATACAGTTAGAGAACGTGATAATTAGGTTTGGAGAAGGATTGCATACCAGAGTACATAGAGTCTAATAACCGTTCAGTCAAAAAGACACTTCTTTGGCTTCGCCCCCAAATGTCTGACATTAGAGCAGGGCGATATGACCAAAAATATTTATATGATATACATTTGAAAATTTGCAATAATGATATAACTGATGATATAACTGACACTAGACAAAATACTTTACAACTCCACAACTTTATTAGTGCAAAAAAAAAAATCAATGTATTTTTACTTAAACAAGCAGCTGTTTTTTATGTGCATTAAAGTTATATAAAAATTTAACAGTGCAAATGCAAAATCCTTGCTGACAGTTTAACCAAAAGGCGTTTCCAGTGGAAATTGGCCGACATATCCTCAGCATAACCATGTATAATATCCACAAAAGTTAAAAAGAGGTTATACACACACAATACGGTAATATTATGTTGAAGCACAGTACGTATCACTCCGCGAGGCTCCTGCCTACGATAGCCGTAATGCTCCGACAGTCCATCAAGCGGTGCGGGTTTCTAGCTTAGCAAAGTCGTACTAAAACATTTGACAGATTTTCGAGCGCCATGTACGACACAAAATCGTTTTGAGGTCAGTAAACACAACCAGAATTCATACATAAGACACACGGGATTATAAGGGGCACTGTCGATTTTCAGAAAAATCAAAGGATTGATTTTAAGTGTGCTGTATTTTCCAAAAAACACGGTAATAACGACAGCCCGCTAGCATGCTCTACCAAAAAATGCTTTGTTGTGTATCTGACGGACGAAAGCAAAACCAGTTCCACACCACTGAAGCTGCAGCATTTTTACAAACCAATTCTGGTTCATCTGTTTCATTCAATGATCCGCTTTCGACCTTCTCATTCTCCGTAGCTGCCATGCTTTTTCCGCCATGTGCGTATAAAAACAAAGGCACTGCGCATGTGCGTTTGACCCATATTCTATCGCGATATTCCATTTTCTTATCGTTGCCCAACATTATACCGGTATTACCGTGAACAGTATGTTATGGCCCAACCCTATCTGACATGTTTATTCTCATAAAAACAAACTTTCAGTCTTACAGGCCCAAGACTAGCAAATCCCACCATCTCATATACAGGACTAGCTTGGCTAAAAGGCATTCTGTTGCTTTTTAAATAGTATAATGTTACTCTGCCCGATAATTGTCTCCCAGCATAATCTCATGACAGATGGATGGGCTGTAGAAGAGCATCAGCACAGCAACAGGGCTGGTATCTGGTGTCTGCTTGTGTGAGGAGGAGCACAGCCAGAGCCCTACAGAATCAAGTTTAAACGGCTATTCTTGTGCATGTTTCTGACCAGACTGTTGGAAACAGACAACGCAAGGATGACATGAGGGTCCCAGTGATGTTACAGGGATCATAATGTTTGCCACACTCTTTCACGTCTGACACATGTTCTCAATTTGAAGCTTCTTTAATCTGTGGAGAGAATTTGGGTGTTCTCTGGTTAAAAGTCATAAAGCTGCACAGTGCTGGGCTGTGAGCTGATACCACTAACAGATTTCAAGCCCTTGTTTCACCCTCGGTGAAATCATTTTCTGACAGTCTGGTGAGAAACATGCACAAGTAACTTACTGTGGTCACTTCAGCTGAGCACTGACACACAAAAGAGCAGATAGCAGTCATGCTGTTGATTTTTGTGATGTTTTCCAATGTATTGCAAGCCTAAATACTGTGGATTTATTAATAAAAAAGCTAAGCGTTTCACTGTAACTAGTTGTTCCCATGAACCCTTTTTGTTACATTCAATTGTTTTGTTTTTTTATAAAAAGGTAACAAATAACCCAGGAAAATTTTTTATCTCTGCTTTACCTATTGGAAAATGTTCGCATTCATAAAGATTAACTTGTGTTTGATTAAGTAACTTTGTTCCTTTGTTAACTCTGGTTGCTGAGTCATTGTGTTGCTTATCTTTATTACCAACAGGCAAAGGGTTAAAGAGAAGATAGCAAGAGACAGAGAAGAAAGAGCACAAAAGGTACTTTTCAAGTTTATTTTCCATTTCTGTATTCTTCCACTTCTGGTGGAAACAAGAACAACTTGGACTTTTTTTTCTGTGAAGTTTGGAGGTATTGCACCCTCGAGCACCACTGCGTCATCCCACCCTGGCCAGCCCAGTCCGTCTTCACCCACCAGTCAGGGCCCTCCACCCACTAAAAAGGAGTATGATGAATCCAGGATACAGGTACCTAATTCATACTTGGTTTTAAAATTTTACTTTACATGTATGTTAATAAAGTTTGAAGTCTGTGCCCTTTGAAACAGAACGTCACAGGTTTCGATAAATGCATATATAATATGTGCACAGAGTCTTCAGGCCTAACAGGGTGTTTAGAATAAAATGGATGATAAGCAGAGTGTGCTTCAGGGCTTAGGCCTTTAGATGAAAATGAATCCACTAAACTGGTGTTGCGTTGAACTTTAAAATATGTACTTTAATTTTTGCTGCTTCTTCACAGGTCCGTCTGCTGGACGGCTCGACCATCACAACAGTCTTCAAGGCCCAGGAGCCGCTGGCGGCAGTGCGCGTCTATGTGCAGATGAACGGCAACACGCCCGAGGGTCAGGACTTCACGCTGCTGTCACCTTACCCCCGTCACGTCTACACTGAACTGGATATGGAGAAGCCCCTCAAAGAGCTGGGTGAGCTGGGAATAGCCACTTAGCTTAAACTGGATTTGGTATCATCACGTTATAATTTTAATATTTAGTGAAGATTAAAAAAAATCACAAATTGAAATCAGACTTGCTTTGGTTCTGTGTGTTCAGGTTTGGTGCCTTCAGCTGTGCTGGTTGTTGCCAAAAAGTAAGAACAGGAGGATCTGCTCTGTGAGCCTACCTCACCACTTCCACTACATCGACACCAGAGATACCAGAACATGGACTGATCCACAAACAGAGCTGCAGTCTTTTTCATTTCACCCAACAAGCCAGATAACTTAATACAAGCACAGATGTGTAATTCCTCTCGAAATGATGATATGGAGGAAATTGGTTCGACTATCAAAAAGAAAAAGGCTTGATTGAATCCATCCTGTTCTGCGCTGGTTTCACCGGCTGTGGGTTGGTGTGTGCAGTGAGCCTGATAGTGAAGATAGCTGGTTTCTGACAGATACTGCTTCAAGGAGCACCACTCATAGTTTCAACACATTAAAGACAAAAATAGAGAACAAACTTGTTGAGTTTTAACCCGATCCATAAAAACACCTGATTCGGAAAGGACCTTAAGTTTAATCCCCACAATCTTCCTGATTTTGTGACAGTTTGCCTTTTCTTTTTTATATATAAGTTTAAATATATCAACAGCTATGTCTACCTGGTCACCAAAAATCTACTTAAAATAAAGCTGACTTGGAAAGTTTGTTACTTGTGAGCTTTGTTCATTTAATTCTGCTCATCATCTCCATCCTACTTTATATGTTCCAGTTATCACCAAACAAAAGGTTCAGCTGAAGCTGTGGACGGTGTCATTAGTTTTGTAGGCGTCTCATTGAACAGATAGAGAAAGACAAATTCCGACCTTGGGATGGGGATAAAGTTTAGAGAAGGGTTGGGCAATTTTCCAGTGAAAGTGTAACATCTCCTGTTATCAGTAGAAGTTTATAAAGAGATAAAAATAACATTTAGCAGAATCAAGTCCAGATTATTGATGCAGCCCTCCACAACGGTCCGACATAAACTTTGGACTTTTAACTGTATTTTCATAAGTTTTATAACTACTGATAAAGCCCTCCCCCATGCTTCAAAGTAATTAAGTAATAAACAAGTGGCTGACAGAAAAGTTTGGTTTTTTTCCTCCACTGTCTACAATTTTTTTTCACAATTTGTAGTTGATGTGTAGTTAAACTTCCTTAGAAAGGGGAGTTTCTTTGGTCCGGCACACTCAAGATTACCGTGTGTTGTATTTAGCCCGCAGTGCAAAATGAGTTTGAAACCCCCGGTTTAGAGGATCATCTGTTAATCAATATTCAAGGTTAATAGTCCAAAATTCAAATGTAAACCCAAAGTGCTTCAGATTGTCTGGGGATCTGGAGCTTTTTTAATACTTTCTTACAGATTTGCAAAAAATTTAATAAAGTAGGTCTTAAGCAAGAAACCATATTTACACAATCTTGTTGACTTAGTGATTTTATCTCTGTGTAAAGTCTAAAGTTGACTCAAGTGATTTTCCTCTGGGTTTTGTAGTTTGCCACAGATCCTTTTCCTGCTGCGACTCACTCCCACATTACATGTTTGGCATTTTGTCCACATTTGAAATCAATACTTAATCCACCAAATAACACAAGTTTTTGGACTTTGTAGTCCTTTGATATGTACAAGTCTAACAATGTCCACGTTACAGATGGCCTTCCTTAAACTTCAAGGTTGTTGTTTTTTTTGGCTATTAAAAAAAAAAAATCCTCAGCATCTTTTTTCAGTAAGTTTTAAATCTTGTGTCTGAGTTTCAGCCCAGATCACAGTCGCTAACCAACAGCAGTCCCTCTTCTCACAGAAATTATGCTAGTTTGGCTAAAAATAAAAACCCACGAAGAAGACGAGCGCTTTCCCTGTTTGCATGTGCCCATCCAGCCAACACTTTATTTTAAACAAAGGGCATTCTCTTTCTTGTAAATGCTCTTTCTGGCATGTAAACTCCAGATAATGAGCAAGGCACAGCGACCCGAAACAGGCCACCAGTTTTACAGTGTGATATTTGATTTTTTGCCCCACCCACTCTAATTATGAACACACAAGCAGAAACACATGACACAAAGAAACAGTGTTGTGACACACTATAAAACACCTTTATATACATTAGAAAAAAAACATAGCCTAGTCTGTGGAATGGTACAAAATGTCAATCATACATCACCTGTGAAGTTGGATGATTTTAAAACACGAGCAAAGCGGTCAACTTGCAACGAATACAAAAATAGTTCTGATTAAAATTCAAAGACACGCCACTGAAGATGAGCGCCGTGTTTCCTTTCATGTTTCCACCTGCTGTTCAGGGAAAAAAAAAAAATGAAAAGATGATCTTTTAAATGACCATAACTCCTCGTTTTCATAAATCCAGTGAGACAGTGAGGTGACTGAGAGGAAGGACGGAGAGGGAAGAATAATGACTGGATGAACTTTAGCAGGATGAAACTTCTCCACAGTCTGGAGGACTGTTCAGTTCAGTTTTATTGTTCAGTGGCCTGATGCGGTCTTTTGCTGTTGCTTTCTCTAGCTGGGTGGATAGTAGCCCTGGTTGTAGTTCCAGGTGTTCTGGTAGCCGTAGCTGCCGTATTGTGGTTGCTGGAGAAAAACCACGACAAACAGGAAACAGGATTAAAAACATCTTAAACTGTGCTTTGCTACATTAAACCAAGCTGGAACCTCGGGGGCTGAAAAATCAAGACACCTCTTGAGCGTCCACTTGAAGGAGCATCTAGTCATTCTCAATAGACTGTAGATAAATGATGGCTACAGCCATCATTAACATAGCCCATTAGTTTCTGAACTCCAAGCTTAAATCTTTAGCTGCTAAACTCCATCAATTTATTTTAAGCCCCAGTCACACAATGCTTCCTGGGGCAAATGCTAAAAATGAATTTTTTCAAGTTGGTCTGATTATCCGGGACAACATATGTTTTTTTCAAAGGACTGGTGGTTGTAAGGGGTTTCTGACAGCCCTATTATATGTGCAGCACTGGTAACGGTCATACAGCCACATCTATTTATGTTTGGCCCTGGACGGCAGGTATAATGGGACCCTCACTAGTCTATAGGCCTGTTTGGCTAGCTCGCAGGAGCATATTACGATGGGTTCAACTGGGCAGGAGGCAGGGGTACACCCTTAATAGGTCACATATGATCAATTTAGAATGAACCAATCAACCCAGCAAGCCTGTTTTTGGACTACGGAGGAACCTGGAGCACCCGGACAGAACCAACAGAGGCTCTGGGAGAAAATGTTAACTCCACACAGAAAGACCCCAGCTGACCAACAGATTCAAATCCAGACATCTATTAGAGCTAAATAACACACTAATAAAATACGAGAAATTCTCATCAAAACTGAAGACAAAAACTTCTTTGGATGGTCCGTTTACAGAACAGGTAACATTATTTGGCAAATAATTGCATTAAAAAACAAAAAAAACAACACAATTATCGGGTATCTGTATTTGTGCTATTAAATTAGATCTGAACATTTTCAAACTAATAGGAGGCTGTGTTCATCTTCTATATGCAGCCTCAAACCCATCCTAATCTAACAATTACATAATTTACTCTCGGATTAATAAAGTATTCTGATCCTACTCCACTATTAATAAAACACAGGCAGACATGTTAAACCACATAATACAGAGTTTATATAAATCTGAGTGTTACCTGGTACCAGCTGCTGTATCCTCCGTAGCCAGTCTGTGCGCTCATATCGGCGCCCATCACAGGAGGAGGCGGCGTGGTGATGGGGACGTGCGGCATGGTAGGTGGGACTTGTGCAGACACAGCAGAGCCGTCATCAGTTTTGCTCAGCTTCTCTGGATCTTCATCCCTACAGAACGAAAATCCTGAAAGCGTGACTTTCATTCTAATCAGTTCACATCTCGTTTACTCAGCATCTAGTATGCATCTAGACCTCAGCTGTTATACATGTTTATTAATGAGGCAGATGACAATAACATGAAGGACTATTCTTTAAGAAAAATAAATCATCTAGAAGTGAAACCCCACCCCTTTAAGGCATTCAGACTACATGTTAAATAATACCAGGGTTTAAGTCCATTTCACATTTAGTTAGTCGTTCCTCCCTCTCTCACCCGTTCTCGGCTTCTCTCTTTGTTCCACCGAGCTCCTTCAGCAGCTTCTGGTGCTCCTCGTAAACAGACAGCACACTGCAGAGGACACACATATAAAAACTGAAGAACCTGAAAGGGTTTAAGGGAGCAGTTTAATTTAAAATAGTTCTCTTTCTGAACTCTGACCTCTGGATAGAGTTGCTGTAGTCCTCTGCGAACTGTAGGCCCCTCTGTGAGAAGAGGATCTTGGTGTGAGGTTCGAGAGGAGCTGCCAGAGCTCGTGTCACACACTCCTGCACCGCTGAGGCTGAGGCCCAGGGGTCACCTGAAACCTCCAGCTCCAACAGGTTCATGTGCAGTTTATCATTATCCTGAGGAGAAGGATAATGAAAGGGAAGAAAGAGGATGGGGGCAATTAGTACCTACTTTAAAAGTCCACTAAAATTTGAATTTTCTTTCTTTCTGTTTTTTAAAGTTTGCTCAAACAATACAGGATGCAAAGCTTGTTTGTAAACACAATTTACAAACTGAACATCATGTGTGTATTCAGTGAGATTTAAAACATCTGATTCAACCTACGAAAGGATCAGGAAAAAGTTAACCAAGGTCCCAGATCAAGTGAGCAATACGGAAGACTCTTTTTCAGGGGTCGACTCTGATTGTTTTTGCAATCAGAGTCGACCCCTGCTGGTCATTACAAAGAATGCAAGCATCGTCTTCACTTTTCAGCTTACACAAATTTATGGTCTAACATAATTTCTCTGGCAATATGAATGAATTCTGCTCTGTCATCTCACCGGACTAATTTCCAGCGCTTCCTGTAAAACACTGCGGGCACTGCTGGGGTCCCTGCCCAGTTTTAGCAGCAATCGAGCCAGCTTGATTGAATAGAAAGCGTGTAACGTGGGCTTCTCTTTGGATTCAGCCACCGCCTCCCTTAGCAAGGCTTCCGACTGATCCAGCTGGCCGGCTCGTCTCTCCAAAGCAGCCCTGCGGATACGGACGACCGCCAAACCTGGCAGTTTCTTCTCCAGGGCCTCCAACACTCGCCGAGCTTCAGTTAAGTCACCTGATAGAGAAGATGATAAGCTTTCATGACTGTCCAGTACAGCCCTTAAGTGTCTGTTAACATTCAAGAATAAAGAACAAAGGGATGGGTGGGTGTTTAATGTTTTGTCATACCGTGCCTCTCCTCAAAGGTCGCCCAGTGCATGTGGATGTTGGGTTTGTACGCCAGGTGGATTTCACAGGCTCGTTTATAAACCGCCCGGGCCTCGTCCACGCTCTGCGGCTCCAGGTACTGGATGTACTGAGAAACACACACAGAGATTCATGCAGACTACATATGAACTCAAACTGAAGTTTAAATATCCTCCAGTGTTATGTGAAGTTTTACAGACTTTGAAAAGCCAATTTAAGCACACATGCATACATGTCTTAACTGCTTTTTATTTTTTATATGACTATTCAAACAGCACCGATGTCCCGTTTTTGGGGTTGCAGGAGTTAAAGCTGTTAATGTAGAGTTGGTCATCCTGAGGCTGGAATATTGATGATGTTGCTGACGGACGTGTATGCAGAACAATATTTGGTGATGGCAGGTGTTTACTGACTGGCTTTTTTCTAGATGCAAATCTACCTAATTCCTAATTTGAGCTTTTTCTTTTTCAAGGTGGATCAGAAGCAACTATGCTGTCCTTGAGCCGGATCTCATTGAATTTGCACTTACACTTATTAGATGGAAGAGACATCAAGGGTAACAGGGTCATTTTGATTCTCTGCATTTTTAAAAAGTATGTGTTGTTTTATTGTAATATTTCTTTATTAGTAAATTCTAGTATATATTTTACCTTTACGATCTGTAATGAAATAATAAATAATTTGCAAAACTGATAAAAATAACTAAGACATAATTTTAAATACTAACTTTGATTACAAAAATTTATTTAACTTCAAGAAATGACTTCTCTGGCTTTGCTGTTTATTGTTGCTGAATGGGGCCAAAAGGACCCACCTGGCAGTTTTAGTGTTAAGGCCTAAAATTCTGAGTTTAGGGAGAATTTAAGGAGATTTTAAATCAACCTGCAGAAAAAAAGTGTATCTGCAAATCATTCTTACCCTGGACCAGAATTCCTCATAGAGTGCGCAGGCGATCAGGCAACGTTCAAAGAGGATGCGAACTCTGTGGTCATCTTGAGCAGCTATAGTGTCCTCCAATGGTTCCTGTGGAGGGGCCATGACCTCCGACTCCTCTGTGATGGCCTGGTTTGGATCTAGTATGACCGAGGTGTCACAAAGCAGTCGCACAGCATGGGCAAACAGTTACAAAAACATCTTTATATTTGTTTTGATACTTGACCAGCAGGAAACGATTAATGACAAAGAGAAGCCCTCTTACATGGGAATCAGCTAGTAAACCACACCCTCCTCCTGGTGCCATCAGGACTGTGCAATTATTTCAAATGTAAATTCAGATACAGTGATTGCCTCCAATAATTATTAATACAAAATAATCAAGACCTGCAATGGGGCTCTCATTTCATCTTGCATTATAATTCTAATCCTCTCTCTTATAACACAGTTTTGTGCCTGTGTAAAAGCCCAAACTCATTCCTCACTGGCAGGTCAGCTCAAGGCAAGATTAGGGAAAGAGATTTTTGGTTGGAAACACTTTGGTTTTAATGGGTTTGCAGGATTAAACTGCATACTTATAAAATGCTTATTTATTTATAGGTGAACCTGCTAAGTTAAATGTATTTTGTCATATAGATTTGTTACATATAAGAGGGTTTCTCTTTGCCTAAATGCACTGTACTGTACAGCGCTTTTTTACTTTGAGAACTTGATACATCCACCCATTCCTACAAATACTTTTTCCCCCCATTATGGCAACTGAGGTTTCAGGGATCGACCCACTGACATTGCGATTAATAGAAGGTCAGTGGTTCTCCATAGCCACAAGCAGATGAGGATATATGATTAAGCATTGTAGATAAACATGTTATTGCAACCGTGTGGGAGCCTGTTTGGAACACTTCATTTAGATTCATGGAAACCAAACAGCCTCTTCATCACCTGTGTAGTCACCTTGGCTGGGGTCTTTCGTGTCCTTGTTCAGCTCTGTGATCTCCCAGTCGAGGTATGAGTGCCAAGTGCGGAGCTGGAGGCGATCAAGTGGCTTAACGTGGAAGTACGGTCGCTTGATCTGTAGTCACAGAATGCGGAGGGAGCATCTTTGTTAAAAAGGGATCTTAGTTTAAAACCTATGAAGCCAAGAATTTAAAACTTTCTGATTACTGCCAATAAAACCTTTAGGTTTTTTTCCTCCAACTGTCTTTGTCAAAAATCTTTTTCTTTTCTTTTTTTTTTAAAACACCTACAGTGGCTTGCAAAAGTATTCGTTCCCGTTGAACTTTTCCACATTTTGTCACCTTACAGCCACAAACATGAATCAATTTTATTGAAATTCAACGTGAAAGACCAATCCAAGGTGGTGTACACGTGAGAAGAGGAACAAAAATCATACATGATTCCAAACATTTTTTACAAATAAATAACTGTAAAGTGGGGTGTGCGTAATTATTCAGCCCCCTGAATCAATACTTTGTAGAACCACCTTTTGCTGCAATTACAGCTGCCAGTCTGTTAGGGTATGTCTCTACCAGCTTTGCACATCTACAGACTGAATCTTTGCCCATTCTTCTTTGCAAAACAGCTCCAGCTCAGTCAGATTAGATGGACAGCGTTTGTGAACAGCAGTTTTCAGATCTTGCCACAGATTCCCGATTGGATTTAGATCTGGACTTTGACTGGGCCATTCTAACACATGGATATGTTTGGTTTTAAACCACTCCATTGTTGCCCTGGCTTTATGTTTAGGGTCGTTGTCCTGCTGGAAGGTGAACCTCCGCCCCAGTCTCAAGTCTTTTGCAGACTCCAAGAGGTTTTCTTCCAAGATTGCCCTGTATTTGGCTCCATCCATCTTCCCATCAACTCTGACCAGCTTCCCTGTCGCTGCTGAAGAGAAGCCCCCCCAGAGCATGATGCTGCCACCCCCATATTTGACAGTGGGGATGGTGTGTTCAGAGTGATGTGCAGTGTTAGTTTTCCGCCACACACAGTGTTTTGCATTTTGGCCAAAAAGTTCCATTTTGGTCTCATCTGACCAGAGCACCTTCTTCCACATGTTTGCTGTGTCCCCCACATGGCTTGTGGCAAACTGAAAACGGGATTTCTTATGGTTTTCTGTAACAATGGCTTTCTTCTTGCCACTCTTCCATAAAGGCCAACTTTGTGCAGTGCACGACTAATAGTTGTCCTGTGGACAGATTCCCCCACCTGAGCTGTAGATCTCTGCAGCTCGTCCAGGCCTCTTGGCTGCATTTCTGATCAGCGCTCTCCTTGTTCGGCCTGTGAGTTTAGGTGGACGGCCTTGTCTTGGTACAGTTGTGCCATACTCCTTCCATTTCTGAATGATCGCTTGAATAGTGCTCCGTGGGATGTTCAAGGCTTGGGAAATCTTTTTGTAGCCTAAGCCTGCTTTAAATTTCTCAATAACTTTATCCCTGACCTGTCTGGTGTCTAACTCCAATCGAGAATCTGTGGCAAGATCTGATAACTGCTGTTCACAAACGCTGTCCATCTAATCTGACTGAGCTGGAGCTGTTTTGCAAAGAAGAATGGGAAAGGATTTCAGTCTCTAGATGTGCAAAGCTGGTAGAGACATACCCTAAAAGACTGGCAGCTATAATTGCATCAAAAGGTGGTTCTACAAAGTATAAGTCAGGGGTAGGGCTGCACGATTTTGCATAAAATGAGAATCACGATTTTTTTTGCTTAGAATTGAGATCACGATTCTCTCATGATTTTCTTTTCCAATATAAATATTTATTGCACTTATTAACTGCACATCAACTTCATAACAGTTGAGACTGAACATAAAAACAATAAATGTCTCACATTTTGTCGTTGCCGCAAAATGTTGTACTGTTGTAATTCCGTCTCCACTGTTGCTCGACACTGCGTGTATACAGCAGGTAGTGCAACAATAGAAAAATAGTTGCTGGACGGCACTGTGCAGCGTTTGTCTAGGGTGTTGATCATTTTCCTAAATCCCTCGTTTTGCACAGTGTTGATGGGAGCCATGTCTTTAGCCAGGTGATAAGTGATAGCCTCCGTAATTTCTTTGTGCCTGCGAGAGTTCGACGGGTATGGGGAAGCGCTGTATAAGGTTTCCGTTATTGATGTTTGGGTGGTTGACCGGGACGGATTTTCTCCATGCAGATTATGTCCCGGATCAAAATGTGATACTATCTTCATCTGTTTTTTTTCTTTTCTTTTTTTTTTTAAATCCTTGTCATTTGGAAATGAGATCGCACATAAGTATGAATTGAGATCGCAATTTTCTAACGATTAATTGTGCAGCCCTACTCAGGCGGCTGAATAATTACGCACACCCCACTTTTCAGTTATTTATTTGTAAAATATGTTTGGAATCATGTATGATTTTTGTTCCACTGCTCACGTGTACACCACTTTGTGTTGGTCTTTCACGTGGAATTCCAATAAAATTGATTCATGTTTGTGGCTGTAATGTGACAAAATGTGGAAAAGTTCAAGGGGGCCGAATACTTTTGCAAGCCACTGTAGGTGTTTTTTACTTTCCCCAATAAGGGCTCATTAATATATATGTAGTTTTCTACCAGGACCTAATCTGTTAATCATCTCTAATAACTCTTACATTAACCCCTTGATTCAGGACAATGTTCTACATTAGCACAGAAATAGGAAAGCACTTATGAATAAAGGAGAGAAAATAATCCCTCTACTTCTCCTAGATTCTCTTAGATAGAGACACAAAAACTACAGCAGCAGCGAATCACAGAAGGACAAACTCACGGCATCTTCAAAGTGCCATCTCTTCCGGACTTCTCCCTCGTTGTCCTGATACACTTTGTCCCTGCGTAGTAACACCTGCTCCCTAATCTTCTGCATCAATTCCTCCTAAAACACAGAAAAAGCATTTTATTAGTCAATGTGACCTCCGCATTAATCCACATCACACACCTCTAATCAATGTGAGGCAGGTGGATGTTACTCACTGTGTCTGTGCCCTCGGGTGTGGCGGGCTCTTCCTCACCCGGCGGCCTCTCCTTCTCCTCCTCCTGCGATTGTTCGGCTCGTTCCGCTTTCTGGCTCTGACGGCACAGCTCCCTCAGCTCCTCGTACTCCTCTGGAGAAAGCACCTCTTTAGGTTCATGGTTGTTCAGATGCTCTTTAAACCTGACAAATAAAGTAAGACCTCAAATTAGATTAACAAAAGAGGAAAAGAAGAAATGAAGGAAGGGACAGAACAGTGGAGTTATTTAGTGTTGCCCTTAAAAGATACAAAACCTAGCACATGGGGAAATATTTTAACAACTATTAAAAGTTCAGTAAATTAAGAAGATAACATGTGGTATTCTAAAAGTAAAGCTGGTAGAGAAAAACACATTAACATCAGCATAAATAACTGGGTGGTGGCCGTACTTGTCGTAGTGGGTGTTGTAGAGCTGTGTGGGGACTCTGAGGACTCTGTCCAGGACGGCTGTTGCGTTCTTCATGTTGCCCTGCTCCTTCTCCCACTCAACATACAGATCCCAAAGCCGGTCCGAGTGGAAGTCCAAACCGGCTGCCGCGACAGCATCCTCAAACACACTGATGGTTGTTGTGAAACAAATAAAAGCATGATAATCAGCTTTTAGTTTCTCTTAACCAAATCTGATTAGATTGGTTTTAAGACCAGGAAAAAAAGATGAACGTCTAAAGACTTCTTTTTTGGGAATCCTTACGAAAAAAAACAGAGCTCTTGCTGGAAAAAAGAAATTTTAGTTGTATGGGGAAGGCAAAGGCAGAAAAAAATGAAACTAAACAAAAAAAAAAAAAACCAGGAAAAAAAGAGGAAGGATTAAAAAGGAAGTAAGATCTGGTCTGTGTGTATGTGTACCTGCGAATCCGCTTGGGTGACTCAGGAAGGTTCATGTCTAGTGTTCCTAGCAGCAGATTGATGTAGTGGATCCACAGATCTACACTGAGAGGGATTGCCTGAAGACCCTGAATGCACACCTAACACAACACAGGACACCCATATATGTTAACTACCTAAATAAAGCGCTTCTAAATAGCCTTGAAAGTATTATTATATAATAACAGTAGGACAGAACAGTAAAAGCTCTCTCGCGTTACCTCCTCTGCTTTGTCGTTAAGCCCAACGCGGCGCTCCAGATCAGCAAATTTCTTCCAGTAACCATAGCAGAGTGGATAGCGAACAAGGAAGGCTTCTAGTGCTCTACGTGAAGATGTGACGTGACCCTGAGGAGACACATTTAATCCAAGTGTCACACGAAGCAACTCTAAATTTCTTCACCAAAAATCTCTTGTGATCTCCGGAAAACAAATGTATCAGAGATCAATCAAAGAAACAAACACACCTCCTGCTCACAGTACTGCAGTAGGTCAGTCCAGGAGGTGAAGTCTTGAGGATTGTCATGAGCGGCCTTCCACAGACGCTCAAAGTCTGCAGGTAGCTCCCCTTCTTCATCCACTGCGGCTGGTTGCATGGAGAAGGAAGCAGGGTCGGGGCCAACAGGAGCCTCAGGAACCACGGCGGCACTGCCGTTCTCTTCCGTCATTTCAGGTAGAGGTGGCGCCGGAACCTCAGGAGCTTCCATGGCTGAAGAGGAAAAGATCAGGGGCATATCTCAATATATTTAAGACCCAAAATATGTACGATACTGAAAAAGATACACTTTTTGGTTGAACCAAAAACCCAAAATGCAAAACATTCTGAGCCAATATTGATGTTTAATACAAGAATTTGACTGACAGCTGGTGCCAGCAAAATCTTATTGTTTACATTGTTTCTGTGATTATTTAATCTGCTTTTAGTGCCAGAGAATAAATCTCTTCTTTATGAAAACTTTTATAAAGTCTGACAACTCGTCATCACATGGTCTCAAAGCATTTTGATGTGACAGACCAAAGAAATGTTGGCCACTGACATAAATGGTCATCTGTCTATGTGTTAACCCTGGGACAGACCAGGGTATACCATGCCTCTTGACCTTTCACAGATGAGATTTGAATTATTATTATTTTAATTATTTTTACAAAAGAAAAAAATCCAACAGCCTACCTTTTACAAATGCCCATAGTTATAAATTATTTATACTCAAAAGACTACAACACAAAGAAACACCCGATAAAACTCCCATTATGACATCGTTTCTGTTTCATCTTTTCTTTGTTGTTCAGCAGGTGTGATGAAAAATAGAAAGAAGACTCAGCTGCTTAACTGAAGTTACGTAACTCATTCACTTTCTGTTTCTTCTACTTCCTGAATAGTTTTGAATGAAAAATGGTAATAACAGAAACCATGCATGAACATGTAAACTTTAGAATAAAATATGAAAAGAATGGAAAGAATTATCTACTGCCTACAGCTGTGATTTATCTAGTAAAAGGCCAAATAAACTCAACTAAAATGAGTTCGTACAGTATTTTGTTTTGTTTTACCGACTCCTGTCTGCGCCTGCAGAGATGCTTCATTCATATAAAGCTCAGAGTTTTAAAGCGCCTCTGGGCTGTTTTTGACAGACTACAACTAACTTGTCGAAAAAGGGTACACAACAGCAGCCAACAGCTGTATACCCCACCCGATCGTAACTTAGTGAAAGTAAAAGACAGACTGTTCTCCGTGCAGGTGAATTCACGTTAGCTTAGCCTAGCATGTCATGCTTGCACCCACAATGGCTCCAGCTGGAGGCTTTGTTTTTAAAAACGCTGGCTGATTAAACCAAAGCTCCACCACATCTGTAAAACAACTACCGGATACGAACTCTAAATTCACCACCGTTAATCATCTACCTGAAGACTCTACCAGCTCCCCGTTGCCGCTCATCTCCTCACAGCCCTCCGCCGCCGCCATGACGGTAAACGTCTGGCTGACGTCATTCAGGCGCGACAGGACGCCTAAAACAACCTACCACGCTAAAAGTGCAACATTTACATTTTATGGAAGCTTTTCACCGCCACTGAAAAAAAGTGCCATCCACAAGTCATGCCATCCACTATGATCACAAAATTTTACATTTTTGATATAACAACCTAAATCTCTAAATTTTGATATAATAACCCCAAAATTTGAGACAATAACGTGAAATTTGGATAAAATAAGCCGATAACGACAATTTTTAATCTTACCCAAACGTTCAGTATAAAAACCTGAGATTTTGACACCCCAAATATTGATAACCCCACATTTTTATATAATAAGCCGAAATTTTATTATTACTCAAAGCTTCAAATATTGATATAACCAAACATTTTGAAATGATAACCTCAAACTCAAATTTTTTATACATAACTTGAAATTTTCAGACAACCCAAAACGTTTATATAATCACTATAGTAATTAGTGGTGTAGCCCAAGTTGTTAATTTAGTTTCAACTGGAAATGGAGGTCACATAGACAAATGATAGTATATGCTCACAAAAATAAAATACAGAATATGTCTTATCCAGGTTTAGTGTTTGGCAACGAGGTTGGCTTGTAAGTGCTCTTTTTTTAAACTTTAAACCTGACTTTTCTTATTTAGACTATTTTTGTTTTAATTTTTTTCTTATTCCTTGTTTTCATATTTATTGCTTGTGTTTGAATTCATATTCTTGTTGGCTTTAACTAATCTAATTTCACTGTACCTGTGTTTGAATAACAAAAGATTATTGAAATCCACTGGTCTATGCGTTTAAAGACTTCACGATCCATTTTTTTACATTCCAGTCATAGCTGGACTGGCCATCGGGCATACCGGGCATTTGCCTGGTGGGCCGATGGTAATTTTTCGTTTTTATATGGGCCGATGTTTTGTTGTTGTTGTCTTTTTTCCAATAACCGTGTAAACAGTGAAAGGTGGCGGATTGGACAGATGCTGGCAGACGTGTAAAAATAACTCAATTGTTTGGTAGTGGCTATGGTGGAGCTTTCACAGATTCAGTAAAATTAGTAAGCGGTGGAGGCCAGCAGGTGGATGGGGGAAAGGACTGGAGGTGGAGAGACCCAAGGCGGCCGCCAGTCCGACTGTCAGGTGAAATGAGCTTCAGGTAAGAAGTTATGACCTGCAGTCTATGTGGGTCAAACCAAGTTTAGGTGTAGTTTATTTTCATTGTGTTAACTTTTTACAGTCAGTTACAATACTCGTACTGTGTAGTAGCTAGCATGATGGAGTTTCTGTACAGTTGGGTGGGTGCTATGATGTTACTTTATTTTATTCATATGGTTAGTTAGTAGAGTTCCCAACCGTGCCATAAAAAACGGAATCCTCTGGTATTCAGAGTTAATATTATGTGTTTTGTATTGAGCTGAAAATAAACAAAAAGACAAAAAGCTGGAGTTATTCTGTGTCTTTGCTGCACAGCTGCCTCTTCTTCTCTCACTCTCCTGCTGCTACTTCAATCATGAAACTGATCAATGATCAGTTGATCTGCGTTTCTGCCGCAAGTCCCGTCTCTCTTGCTTGTTTATCTCCCGCTTTGCGCCAGCAAGAGGAAACTAGCGGAGGTCGCGTTAAACAGCAGAAGCGCCTTTAAACTTGATAAGCTGTTGTTAGAATTTATTTAATATTACTTTCTAGTATCAGCTGATGTTTGTTGGAGCCGTAAAAGCTGCTGGTCATGATATCGGTTTGGTTATCTGGTGAGAGGGAAACATGAAGATGAAACCAGGAGATGTCCTTACTGAATCATCAGAGCTGAACAGGTGATGGAGAAACAGGTTTACCTTTTAGGTGACATGAATGGGTTGAAGGAAAGCTATGAACTGTTTCTGAGAGACAACTTACACCATCCTGGTGTAAGTTGGTGTAAGATCCTCCTTTCTGTGTAGCTGACAGCTGGTAACTGTGCAGGGGCGGGTCTAGCAAAGTTTTGCCAGGGGGCCGATAGGGCATTAACAGGGAAAGGGGGGCACAAAGAAATACTTTTCTTTCTTATTCTCATTTAAAATTTCTAGCTTTTAACAAATAATTATCTGAATCTTACAACCAAAGTTTTCATCTGATGTCAAATTTATAGAAATCCATTATTGTACATAGTAAGTTTTTTTCAGGGTCCCAAGATAATTTCTTCAGAAGAAAGTACTGTACATGATGCCAGTATTTTCCCACATTTTCTAGATACTGTACTAGTACTTTGTGTAAAATGCCATCAAAAAGTCAGTTAAGTTTTATTCTTTCTCACCTGTCTTTCTGTCTCCTTTCACTTTTAAAAGGTTGCCATGTTAGAAAAAATATTTTGCCCTGCCATGTTTATTGATGTGGTAAATAAATAGTTTATGAAAATATCACTAAATCTGTCATTTATTTTTTATATTCAGTAATGGTCATGTCTCACCTCTAGTCTTCTCTGTCTTAATTTCAGGTTTCCACCATATGTTGTAGATAGTTCAGGAACTCAACCAAGCAGTCTTTGGGTTTTGGCTAAGTACTGTTTAGAATACCATAGGGAGGATGATGTAGGTTTAAGTTTATTAGATTGATACACATGTACCAACAAGACAGTGTACATCACTGTCACAACGACATTTGTTTTCATTCAAAGGCTTTATGGTTTTTCCTATAATACCTGGTGGGCCAGTCTCTAGTCAAAATGCCCGGGCTGATTTTTTGTCCCAGTCCAGCCCTGATTCCAGTAACTACCATTTTTCTGAACACAGCCATACATGTTCTTCTGCTTCAAGGTTCAATGTTTTAGGCAGCCAAAAAGAGATGAGAGCCCCCTGACCTCTTTCCACTGTCAAATAGCAAGTAAGATACTTGATAATTAGCGTTAACATGGTTGATTGTAATAAGCAGTTATTAGATTACTGTTTCTTCTCTATCAGCTTTTAGTGCCATTCTGATGCTCTACTCTACAGCCCATCTTTACCATGTCTACTTCCCTAAATGTAAGGAGTTCCTGCCATGTGATTAGTAGATTAGACACTTGCATTAACAGTTGAATATGCGCACCTATTAAAGAATCTAGTCGGTGTAGGTTTAATATAATGCATACCACCATATCCAGTTGGCTGCTTTAGAAGTGATACTCCACTCAGAATATGAAACAGGACCAGGCGCATATAAAGAAACATTTATGAATTACTGACTCATAGAAGGCAATAGGTTTACATTTGATCAATTTTATTTTCACTTGGTCTCATCTTTTTAAAGTACATCTGACAACTTTGAGAGCTGAAGTCCGATCCTTCACTTCCATTTCCACCAGTTCATCACCAACAAAAATGCAACTAAGCGTATGGTTGTGATCATAAAAGCAATCAAGCAAAAAAAAACAAAAACACAACCTTCCTAGAACAAAACTACAACAAAAAGGTCAGATCATTTGACTAGGTGGAGCATAACCCACGTCCACAGAATCATTTCAGTTCTCATTCTTCTTTAAGTGCATTTAAGGAAAATCTCTTGAACAATGCAGGAAAACAAAAAAATGAAAACAATGAAAGCACATCAACAGAATGAGCCACAAATTGTCAGTGGTTCAGTCCCCTGAAGTGATTCCCATTGCCAACTTTGTTCTAAACAACAGCTGCAAATCCCCTCACTGAGCAGCAGGTAAGTAACCAGATTGGTGCCGGTTGATTAACCATGTGCACAAATTCTGCAATACAGGGAACAAACAAAGACAGCCTGAATCTAAGTCAATTTAAGTGCTTTTCTTAAAAGAGGAATGAAAAGAGTTTTCAATGAGGATCAGCAGCAGATGGAGGCTTTGAATGTGAACCTTTATTTTAAATGGAAAACAGTGGATTGGTTTGGGGTTTTTTTTCTGAGGCAAACTGGATGGAAAATGAAGTGGACGAAAAAACAAAACAAAAAAAGTTTCTGTCTTACCCCAAAGATTCCTAACAATGACATGAATCAAACAGATCGAGCAATGTGACAAAACATAATTGTTCATCTAGCAATAACCCTGAACTCTCTCTGTTACCTATTAGAGTGTGAACACAAGGGAAATGGCTGAGAAGTAAAGTGGCTCAGATCGACTAACAGGTATACATGAATCTCTGTGTGCGTGTAATCAGTGTCTTGTGTATCCTTTTTTCCCCCCACCATGTTGCCTATCTTACTCTGTTTTAGTTAGTTATGGGTATTAGTGCCTTTTTTCTATTTCCCTCTCTCTCCCTCTGCTCACTTTCGGTTCAAATCAGTCATTTTCCCCCCTCCTGCTTCCTCCTCTTTCATCTTTCACGATTACTGAAATGTCACGGTCCAGTCGGCCCCTGCGTTCATGCCGGGCTTACGGACTGTCAGAACAGACATGGAGGCGTCAAAATCGAACTCCAGCTGCTTCTCTTGGCCATCTGTAAACAAACAAAAAAGAAAACAAACATCAGGGGATTTTAAGTTTAGAAGCTGCATATTTTTCACATAAATCCATAACAGATTGCCAATTTTCACATCTTAAATCTTTCAGATCCTAAAGCTGCCATCCCATCTGAATAAGAGTTTGAAAACAACTTAAACAGCATGAAACTAAATAAGGGGAAATCAGCAAAGAGTAGAAAATGGTGAATATCCATGATCCTTTCCCTTATTTTTGGTCATCCATTGCCCGTTTCAGTTGTTGATGCTCAGACTAAACACGGTCGTAGCATAAACAAATATCCTCAGGCTTCAGAGTGTTGTCTGTACAGTTTTTCCTGGTCCTGAATCTGCATGTCATTGAGAAGCCCCACCCACCTCATGTTCAAACTTTATTTGTGAGGGGCATGAGAAAGGTGGCTTACTTCAAGCACTGGATAAATTGAGGAGCTGCATCCAAGGCCTATCAAAAGCTAAATAGTGACTATTTATAACTGTTTCATGCAAATCTACTTTAGCATAAAGATACAAATCTGGAGCATGAAATTTCACCCAGTACATCCCTTTTTATCTTATATCCCACTTTAATGGCAC